CATTGTGAGGCAGAGGTGTCGGATTTTGATGAAGGCAAAATAAAGTGAGGATTTTGGGAAGAGTCAGGTGTTCTTTCTTACCCCCTTTTTTGAATAACGCGGCCAATGAGGTATGCAACTTATTTTTTGTTTCTGTATAATGTTGGCAGATAGTGATTAATTAATGAGCGTGATAGTCTGCCTGCATTTCGTTTATCCTTAAGTAGGTTAGTGCGCGTATAGCCTTTTACAACTGACAAATAGTGTAATAATATAGTGTTGTATTATGTTTTATAATTTGTTATGTGATTATTCTGTTATGAGAATGCGTGATATTGTACTGGACTAATTGAATGAATTTTATGTAATTTACTGTATTCAGTTCTCACGGCGTATGATTGGCATGGATGTGCAAAATAATGCCTTACTCAAAGAACGCATATGCTGGTGTTTCAACCTGAGGGGATAACACACATATTTGTGCTGTCCAGAATGGGATTCATTTAACACCTCGTTTTTCTGGTCTCCTGTGTATCGTACGTAAAAGTCTTGAAATTGTTCAGAAGACTGCAGCTAAATAAATCCAGTTTCGACAGTTTGTACCAATTTGAACTGTTTTTTTTCTTTCCTATCATAGCTGTCTGACCTCCTTAAATCTTTATATTCATCCCACGTTCCTTTGCTCTCAGAATAACAGGCTCCTGTCCCCAGAGTTAAAGGAAGTCAGCAGGCTGCAGGGCCTTTTTTTACCGTGCCCCCCTCCCTCTGAAACAACCAGGCTGACATCAGACTGTCGGGACGCCAGTGAGGCCTTTAAATCCAAAACTTAAAAACTCAATCTATAGGCCTTAACCTTTCAGTTCAGTGGGCTTGTCCTTTTGATCAGTTCGGTCTTGTGCCTAGTTACCATTCTCCCCATAGTGCGTCGTCTCGGTCTCACTGAATCCATAATCCTCAATACTAGTACATAGAGTCTGTGTTGGTCCTGCTGAGTTTTAACTGCAAACTTTTCTTGAAAACCACTGCATCCCTCCTAAAACCTTTTTGTTTCCCCCAGGCTGCATATACCCCCCAGCCCCCTCTCTTGATGCACCTCCCTAGTTGTCAGTGCTTCATTCCGGATATTTTGGATCTGGTCATTGGTCCTCCTCCATCGTCTCTCTCTGCCTCTGTGTGTTTGTTTCCTTCTCTTAGATGTATGAATGAGGGTGCCGGATTTGTGTCTTGTATGTTTGTTGTCTGTCCTCTTCCCAGTCTTCATGGGGAGAGAGGGTCCTTCTGCTCAGTTCCTCTCGGTTTGCAGCACCTGGACAGTTGCAGCTTTGACAACCTCTCAGATGCTGGTTGTTCCTGTACACACAACATTTTATATGCATGTCCTTCTGTTCGTTTCCTGATTTTTGCCATTAAAGTTTTTTTGAAAGCTTTTTCCTCATCTATTCTTTGAAGGACAGAGGGGTCGATATGCTCTTACACCCCGCTGTTAACCAGTTGAGGAAATGTGTGATTTGTGATATTGTTTATATAATAAAATGTGACTCAACT